TATCTATCGGTGTGCAATAACAATACGGTTGCAGTACTCTGTGTATTTCCAACAAAGCCACTCAGACATATACTGAAGTCTTTTGGTATACTCACATACTTAATCATAATAGGTTTGTCTGTCACATTGTCATAGAAAATATACATTATAGCTGCTTTAATATGACACTGAGGTCAACAATGTAACTGAGGCAACAGATGACTAATACAAAAATGTCTTTTGGTATACTCACAGAGCTCCACAACCTTTTCCACACTCATTCTGAGTTGTTCGAATTCTTCCTGCTGCTTCACCATGTGTTCCAGGAGCACTGAGGAACAGACAAACAAACACCGATCAAACAAATCCAACCACACACCAAACACAGCTCTGATTTCCCACCAGACCTTTCATATCTTTATCTTAGTCGTGTTTGGTTGGTCAGACCAAAATTTGGTGAAATGCTTCTGTCACGAGGCCGTTTCAATCAAAATAAGATTTAGGAACCACTGCTAGTTAGTAGCATGGAGCTAATGGTCCAAATAAAATATAGGAACATTGCAGATAGTGACGTTATTCTAAAGTTAAAAAACTGTTTCTCTCACATTCCTGCAGCTCTTTGTCGTCCTGCCTCCCGTCCACCTCGTCTTGTTTCTGTCTGGAGGTAAACTCAAACACCTTGTACAACATGTTCCCCTGCTCCACCTGCAGAGCTCCAGACAGGACCTGGAAGGCATCATTGAGACGTTCGTTCACGCTGTTGAACTCGTCTCCGTGGCTGCCCGAGTTCAGGACACGCTTTACCCAGCTGGCCTTAGTGTATTTCTCGATGAGCTTCTGTGCTGATTTCAGAGTGATGCAGAGTTCCTCGAGAGGTTTCTTTATGTCGGCAGAGATTTGTTCCTTGTCTCTCTGTTTGATGGACCTCACCAGCTCTTCCAGGGCTTTGACTCGCTCAGAAACACGCCGACAGCGCTTCTTATTGGCCTTCACATTCTCCACCAGGGTGTAGATCTCTGAGGCGATGGACACGATGGGATCTATGAAGTCCATGACCAGCTGGAGGGACAGAGAGGAAGTTAGATAAAGTTCAACTAAGCCATAATTAACTTGTACTGGACTTAATTTAACCAAGTCTGACTTTATTCACAGGAAATAATCTGCTCAAAATTCATCCAAATCTGTGGTTTTACACAAACTTCAAGCAGCTGTTGTGTTCACTGTTTGGGTTCATTGTTCAGTTTATCTGCTGTTATTGTTATACATTAAATATAATATAATATATCCATTACAGCCATTTGTAATATCGGCTCAGACAGGCTAACTCTCCTAGCAGGACACCATCCGTCACCTGACTCCAGATCGGTAATGTAATAGCCTGGTTTCAACCAGTAGAGGGCGGTAGCTGTGCATTTTTATGAGAAAATATGTAGAATTCAAATGAATTGGGACCTCAGTCAACAACACCAGTAAATACCCAGAAACAGGTTTTCAGATGAAAAAAATGGTTTTGGGGTTTAGTTACTCTTTAATTATCTATAATTATCAAACCATCATCACTGTCATCATGTAGCGCCACCTACAGGATAAACGAAAAAAAACAACTACAGTCCAACGTTCAACAAATAGGAAGGATTTTTTTGTTTTTTCAGTGTTGTTTTGAATACCAACAGATCTCACTGAGAACAAATGTGACAAATGTAAAACAACTGTCAATAAAAGTCAAATAACCGACAGAACCGGTAATAATTATCTGACGTGAATTTAATTAAAGTGACTTCTTCGGCACTCAGCCGAACTGAGCTGATGTTATCTGCAGAGAAGATTTCCCACGGGAATGTCTGTCCAAATCCAATCAGAGCGAGGAGATGATTCATCCGGCGCTAATTCACGTCGACAGCGACTCCATCGCTCACACAATCTGCTGACTGTTTCCTTAAAACTATAGTGCTGCTGTTTGATCCACACCTCCCCAACAAAGAAAATTCACTCTACAGCAGGAAGTGAAACGTGTTGATTCAGTACATTTCAGGAAGTTTGTTGAGTCATGTTCAGGTAATGATATATAATTACACACTAATTATGGGGGTTTTGCCCTCAGACTGGAGTTAGCAGACTGACTCTGCTGTCTCACACAGTTTATAAGCAAACACAGTATATGTAAGACCAACAACACCATATACAGTATACTGTAGATAATTGTCTTAAAACAACACTTCGGCTACTAATAGAGGCTTCTCCTTCAGAGAGCTTTCGACTGAAATGGGAAGAAGGACAAACTTTGACCTGATGATGGTGCTAGAGACAGTTCATCCTGAGGGGAACATGAACATGTGAATCAAATTTCATAAGAATGGCGCTATAGAGCAAAGTCAGAGAATTCATCCTCTGGGCAACTACAATTTATGGCCATTACATAGTTGTTGATGCCCCTAGAGCTATGCTGCAAACACGGCTAATAGAAAAAAATAGTGGAAAAAACACTACAACCGACCATTAAATGTGTCTGGATCACTTAATTAAAGGTCCAGTGTGTAACTTTTAGGAGGATCTGTTGGCTATATAATAAGATCAAATATAATATACTATACATAGGTACGTTTTTATTAGTGTATAATCACCTGAATATAAGAATCGTCGTGTTTTTGTTACCTTAGAATGAGACGTTTTTATCTACAGAGGGAGTAGACTTTTCCGCCATGTTTCTACAGTAGCCCAGAACGTACAAACCAAACTCTGCAAGATGGGGCCTTTCGTGGCCACCGTAGTTTCTCCTACACACCTCACAGCATGTCCTCACACACAAACGGTGTTATAGTCTTAAACTTTGCCGCTACATGCCACTAAAGGCTACATACTGGCTAAAATTTGGCTACCGGTATTAAAGTCCCTACAAGGAACTTTCATTTTGTGTTGATTCTGGCGGCCCCTGTGGACAAAAGTGGTAGTATTTCTATCGCCTTGTTTAAGTGATTTTCAGGGTCAACGTGACCTGATGGCAGACTTTAAGAATAACTTTATATAAATAGTCAATCGTCTTACTTACAGTCTTGTTTGTTTATGTAAGTCATACACTGTAAAAAAAAAAAATTGGTAGATTTTACCGTGCAAAACTGTAAAAAGTTAAATACAGTTTGTGTTATAGTGAAATATCATCATATCTCATTGCAAAATCTTTATTTATATGGCATTTTAAAGGAATTTATATGGAATCATTTTTTTTTATATTACAGACTGTAAATTGCACAGAAAAACACTGTCACATCTCATGGTTGTGTTTTTTTTATGGTCAAAACAACGGCAAAATCAACAGCACTTATATCCTTTAACAGTAATAGTAGAACATTTCTACTGTATTGTTTATGGTAAAGTTCTGGCAACCACAGCTCAAAAACAAATAAGAATAAAAATATGAAAGAAAATGTGGTAAAACAGTATTTTAATTTCCTTGTCAATGGATACTTTTACAACACATTGTTTGGATTTATATGTTTTACACTATGCATTTAGTATCTCTGCCATATAATTATATATATATATAAAGACTCATATCCATAAGACAGGTATACTATCTAAACAGTATGTTCTCTCCCTCTGCCCACTCGTTCATATGAGCAGGTAAACTCCTCCTTAAACCACAGCTAGAGTCCGTTAGAAATTCATTCAGACATTCATTCATGAACATTCATGTCGGAAGGTGAGAGCATACCTATCGCTCTCTGTTGCCCTCAAGGGAATAACACGCCTATGTTTTTTTGTCAAACCTCAGGGTGCGTCGCTGGGTGAAAGGTGTCCCTTTTTACAAACCTCCTGATCTACGAGCAACCTGCAGCAAACTAACCTGCTCACAGAGTCAACCACAAGAGGACACATACGAAGCAGTCAGCAGATCAAAAACATAAAGATTATTTACCTGTAAGTGGACGTCAGTGGAAGCTTCTCAACGCAGGTTTATGTTTGTGTGTGAGTGCTGGGAGAAAATGAAACTTCAGCCTTCAGCTCCTCCTTCTGCGGCTCACTTCCTGTTCCTCTCTGACAGTTGTTCCTTCCCCCTTCTGACTGTTGTTCATACTCTGCTGTGACACACCCGGGTGTTATATATCTTATCCCTGAAGCAGAAGCATAACTCATAGCACAGAGGGATGGACGGAGGGGCAGGGCAGATGTGATTGGATTCATGTGAAACCCTCATGGTCAACCAACTGACATGGTATACTGTTAGTAACAAGACCTGAACTGTGTTATTGCACAGAATGATCTTTCTATAAGGTATATAGAATATAGTAATAGTATATATTTGGGTGTTTTTTTGCCTCGAGTCTGCACACACATGGCTAAAAGCGTCTCATGATGTTTATAATATAAACAGCTGCTGTGTATTACTCAGAGTAATGCGGTCACACAGAAGTCCATTCACTTCCATTGTATTGGGTTTAATGCAGGAATCTCAGACGCAGATATCTCAAATTTCATCAAATTTGATTAAATAGAAATAAAAAACAGTGACACAGTGACACAAAAATGATTCTATTGTCCCCTTGCACCAATCAGTTGGCACCACCGTGCGTCGTCGCAATGTTTTGCATGTAACGTAACAGTAACAGAGTGCACAGCGTGATGAAGTTAAAGAAGGAAGCTTTAGCCTTCCGCTGACAAAAATAAGTAATGCTCTAGCTATTATAGTTTTAAGTTTAGATTGATAATGGATAATGGTGGGATAAACAGGGCCTACATTGGTATTTTTGTTTATTGTGATGTGATTTCTTGGAGTGTTTTAAAATGATTTGTATTTCTAAAATGTGTACATGTCAATAAACCATAGAAATTGAAAAAAGTATTGAAATTGAGATAGGCAAATCTTTTATTTGAATATTATTTTTTTAACTGCTCTACTCCTCCGTAACGTAATGTATCATAATGACATCAGTGATATACCGTATGTTAAAGGATGATGTGTTGTTAAAGATGGAAGCAAAAATTCTGTTTTTTTTTATTTTTGATTGATTTAAACAGGATAAAGTAAAAAATGGCCGCCCATGGGTGGTCGGCTTTTAAAGGGTTAAACATGGCACTTTGAAGGAAGTTTTAGATCAGGACACAATTTGAATGTGTTTTATAGATACCTCAGTGGTTTCATTAATTTGCCCCCTTTGAAATATTGTTTCAGCCGAGTACCCTGACCAGCAACAGGAGTCGGGTTGATACCACAGACTGTATAATAAACAATAGATGTCGTCTCTGTGACGTCCGAAAAATGGGCAAAGAGGCAAAGCTGAAAGAAGTCTGGTTACTGAAAACAGCCGCCTCTGACAGCCCCCACCTGTCACTCAAACATGTCCTTAATTATGCATAACTTTAAGCCTTAAAATAATTCAAACAGGTGACTAAAAAACTCACCCCCCGTACAGTTGTCATAAACGGATAAATTATAGAGCTATAGAGAACAAAAGTGTTTTGGTTATTGGAGCACAGAGAGGTCAGGGCTTAGGACGGATCAATTGTTTATCAGCAGGGCAGCAAGACTGTTTTATCTGAGCTGGCAAAACACACAGTTGACCTCATTAAAAATATAGTTATATTGAGTTTAACAAAAGCTACCAATAAACCAGTAAACCTTAAATCATACAGTCAATTTTATTTTAGACCATCTGTGAGTAACTACAGGTCAGACAGAGAGCTGCGGCCTCATTTATGAAGGTTGCTATGCAGAAAACAAAAGTTGCTTTAATGAGTTTAACAACAATAAACCAATAAACCTTTAAGTATTGTAGATTATCTGTGAGCGGTGTGGCTGCAGGTCAGACAGAGACCCGGAGAGGTGACGCCCAGAGGAGGTATAGATGATACCTTATCAGCCCACCTGAGTTAAAGGATAATACATTTCTTTCATGCACATTAAGACGGACAGCTTGCATCAACATCCACTTTACAGTAAGTAATCATTTCCTGTTAATATATGAATACTAAATAATGTAAATAATTAATTAGCATCATCGGTAATACCTGTGTTTACCCTACTATTTCATGTCAAAATGGCTGCTGTAATCTGAATTACAGCAAACACCTTGCAGACACTCCTGGCATACAGGGTTGCACCAGGATCGAATGGTCTTTTTTTGCTCATGAAGGTTCCTGACTGAGGATATTGTAAAAATAATAGGAGCTATTTGAATTCTCTAAATATTCACAAATACAAACAATTAAAGGATACACACCAAGCTCTAGTTACCATTTTTATCTTCTGCCATAATTTGTTAATCTGCTTTTATGTTTTGAACTTTGAACAATATGTTAAACTTGTTACAGGCTGACTGTGAACGCCACTGTTGTAAAATCTACTTGTTATGAAGTTGTGAAGCACTTTGTGTACACATAAACATTACTATATTATAATAAAGTTTATAAGTGTTAATGTAACATAGTGTTGGCATTAGTTAGGTAATAAGGAGATTCAGTTGCTTTTCACATAAAAAGAATTTGCCTCTGTATATTGGTGCGTAACAATAAACATAGGACAAGAAAAAGGAGGGCCGCAAGTTAAGAAGCATAAATAATAGAAAATTAACAATAATAAAATTATACTTTAAACCAAAGAGTCCATTTCATCATCATCGAGACACTCATCAACACAAGCCTCAACAACATTAATGTCTGAATATGTCCTTTTTCTCTCATGCTAACTGTTTCTCCAGCTGACCATGGAGCTCATAAACCCTTCTGGACCATCTACAACATGTTTGACAAGATGAAGAACAATAAAGAGCAATGCCCCCATGTTATGCAGAGACTCAAAGCTCTGGAGAAACTGGCGCTTTCCATCTTACAGAAGGAGCCAGACCAACTCTCTGATGATGTGAAGGAAGCTTTGGAGAAACTCAACAAGGTTCTGTTATCAGCCACTGAGCTGATCGAGAAATTCACGCAGACATTCAAGGTGACTCAGATGGTGAAATCCAGCGACTACAAATTAGAGTTCGACAGCCTGAACAAAAGTCTCACTGACGCCTTTGTGACTCTCTCTGGGGCTCTGCATGTCCACCAGGGGAAGAAACTGGACGAGCAGGAGGAGAAGTTACTCAAACAGGATGAGAAGCTGCTCGAACAGGAGAGCATGCTCGCTGAGCAGCAGAAGAAGTTAGCCGCGCAGCAGAGGAGGCTAGCCGAGCACGAGAGGAAGCTGGCTGAACAGGAAGACAGGCTAGAAGAGCAGGAGGACATTCTGCAAAGAGTGGAATCAAAACTAGTGTATCAAAGCAGAGGCTACTACTGTATTCTGCAATGAAGAAGAGAGTTGTCTGCATAATGTCGGAGCCTCGTGGGAGGAACAGTTGCTTTGCATTTTTATAATGAGTTTCTTTCTTTTTACTATCAAGTTCGAAATGTTCCTCAGTTAAATAAATAAGCTTTGAGTTAAATGCTAGTGTCAGTATGCTAATAAGCTCAGAAATACTATTACAATAATAATAGTAACTACAGACGGTAATTTCTGAAGAAACTGCAGGTGTGAATTCTGTCTGTCAAAAGGCTGATGCTAAACTGAATTACTGTCTTTAAAATTGTATAAACGATGCAGAATATTTGAAGGTTTGTTGAAAAGTGGAAGTTAAACTGAATTGCTAGCTTAAAAAATCAAATAATCAATAATCCGTAAAATGTTTAAGGTTTGCTGAAAAATTTAGTTTAACAAAAAATTTAGTGTGTGTGTGTGTCTTTATTAAACATTGCCACAAATCATGGGAAAATCTGAACTGGCTGCACGTACACTTGATCTCATTAAGATATACAGTTTTACTGAGTTTAACAACAGCTGCCAATAAACCAATAAACCTTTAACCATACAGTAATTAGTATTTTAGATTATCTGTGAGCTGTGTAACTACAGGTCAGACGGAGACCTTGGGCCTTTGGGGATGCTAAGTGTGGTGCTTTGAGTTAAATGCTAGTGTTAGCTAGCACGCTATATGCTGATAAGGACAATAATAAAAAGAAGTCGATATAGCTTATTAATTGCCTTCTGGTCTTTTCTTCTGCACCTCTGCTCCTAAACATGCAAAAAAGGTTTACAAAACTTAAATATTAACGTTCAAAATCAAAGAAAAGGGCTGGATAGCGTAATAATATTAACAGTAAACATGTGTAACAGAGGTTAGGGCACCGGAAATAAACCAAAATAACAGTAAATGAAAAAAATAACTAAAACTCACACTAAATAAATAGATAAAAAAAATCACAAATACAAATTGAAAGTTTGGATTAATAAAGTGCATTTCTAACCCACACTCACAGGATTTTAACGACTTTAAGCACTAACTACACAGTAGGCTCTCAAGAAAACACTACAAATGTACAAATTACAGGGTCATCATAAAAAACCAGCATCAAATGTATCCCATAAGGATGAAGTGGTATGAGAGCAGCTTATCCCTCAATCCAGCAACTGCTGCCTTATATAGCCCAGAAGACCCTAACACAGTGTAGTGCATGCCCATGGCAGAGAGGAAAACACAAATAGTGGAACATTATACCAATACACAATAAATAAACTTCCATATGTATATAAGCAAAGGCATCTGATCAAGGTTTTTTATTCAGTAAGAGTCTGGAACAACAGCCTTAACACTGAACTTGTCCTGAACAACATCCTGCTTAGACATGGTTTGTATGAGCCTATTAAAAGGTTTGACCGGGTGACCAAATCTTGACCTGACCTGCGTCTGTACATTAGAATGACCTCTGTTCAACAGTGTGTAGAGTCTCTGTCTGTCTGCGTCACAGTGCTGAGAGCTGGGTCTGACTCCCTCAACAACTACTGGCTTGTCCACAGCAGTCACTGGGCATGTGATCCTCAGACTGAGACTGAGGCATCAAGGAGGTCATGGGTCATGCTTATTATGTCAGTAACGTCGGCCTCTGACAGACTTTTACCTTTAATAAAAGGAGGAGCATTTTAATTACAGCACATTAAGACAGTTTGACTGTTTCACATTGGCGTGCAAAGGCTATG